ATAGGGAGATTCTTGGTCAATAACACCAGGTGGGGTCCAGCTGTCATTCATTCAGGTATGAGGCGTGCATTTCACTCAACTTGTCAAACTGAGCATCTGTGTCCTCTCGGGCTCAGGGCCCAGGTGTGTGGGTTTAACAGTGCAGGCTGGGAGTGAGCGGTCTAGTGCCGGGATGGATGGATGGATGGATGGATGGATGGATGGATGGATGGATGGATGGGGGGCGAGTGGGCGGCCGTCGGGCCGGGAGGGGTGGAGGGGTGGGGGAGCGGAGAGGCCACAAGCTTTGAGAGTGCAGTTTGCAGCAAACCTCCTTCCTTGAGAGTGGGCTCGCTGTACCACGTGCAAGCTGGAATCCTTCTTGGGAGAATGGGGGAAGGGTCAGAATAGGAACATCCACGCCCAGAGCTGAATGCCCCTTCTGCCCTGGCCTCATCTCCTGCAACCCCATGGGTCCCACCACCGTGCTCAGAGATAGGGGTACTCGGGCAAACAGAAAGGCCTTGGGGGTGGGGGGGACAGGGGGAGCAGGCATGTGAACCCAGTGAGATTCCTGCATGGTCACAAACTCAGAAGGGGGGGCCTGGGACACCTCTCTGGTGAGGGGACACAGCAGCGGAGGCTGCCAGCAGAAGAGAGAAACCACCCAGTCCTGGAAGTGTTCTCGGGCCTCAGGAAGGGTCATCCAGCTCTGGCCTTCCACGGGTTCTCCCTTCCCCCAACACGTACACCTGTAACCTCCCCATCACCCGGGCACCTGGCCATCGCCAGACTGTTCCGCTACTCAACCCTTCACTTCAGACTCCTGCCCCGGTCTCAGGCCTCCCACAGCGTGACGACCACCAGGCCACCTGCCTTCAGCACCTTGGCTGGGCCCGGTGCAGTGCTACACTCCTAGGCCTGGGCCCCTGTTGGCGCGAGTGGGGACAGAGCCCCATACTCCTGCCACGGAGTTTATCCCGCACGCACGTGGCGACCTCAGACCTCACTGGCTGCGGGGGGGAACTCAGTGTGGTCTGGGTTCTTGACTGTCGTCTTTACACAAGCCACGCCTTTCCTGCAAACCACGTGCACCGCCCGGACCTCCCAGGCCCGGACCTCCCAGACAAGCTCAGTTCGTTTTTGTCATTGGAGTCCATCTTCTTCCACTGCCGGTCCCCAAACTCACTTCCGCCCCAGACACCATCTTCCCCTCCTCACACGTGTGTAGAACATGCCCTGACGTGTGCGTGCCTGGCCACCACATCAGAGGGTAGAAAGGAGATTGGGCCAGGACTTGTCTCCACCCAATTTGAGCTTCTTTTCCCCCTAATAGGTAACCCAGACACTGCCTCCGAGGGCCCACTCTACAGACCGCACAAGGACTCGGTGCCACGCATATGCCCCCTCAGGGACTGGTGCGAACATCTGGGAGGTGCCTGTCCCAGTGGAGGGGGCGAGCCCAGGGCCCCAGGTTGTGTCCCAGCGGGCCGTAGAGGCTCTCTAGGGGCTGCGCCGCCACTTCAGAGTCCACTAGGGTGTGTTGGGGCTCCTGGGTCCCAGGGGCATGCAGAACCAGCTGACATGGATTTCAGAGAGCCAATCCAGGAATTCTGAGAGTTGGTCTTTTTGATGATCAAACCGTAGAGTTGTGTGATAGTTTATATAATCTGGTGTCCATTTGAGACTATTAAGAGTGAAAGGGTGGAATTTAGCCTGTCAAGCAAGTTGCAGCTTGATGACCTCATTTGGAGGCGCTATGGAGATAAATAGCTCACCGGAGGCCAGACCCATCACATAACAAGAGACCCGAGAACTAGAAAGGCGAGGCTTCACCACCCATTTATCCCTCCGCCTTTCAACCAGCCCCACATGTGATTATCGGC